TGCCACAATTGCCAGGCGTATGGCCACACGAAAACTTATTGTCACCATCTGCCGCGTTGCGTGAAATGCGGTGAACAGCACAAATCTTTGGAGTGCACCAAACCAATACAAGATCCTGCAGTGTGTGCACTATGCCAGGAGGGACACCCGGCCAACTACAAAGGCTGCCAAACCTATAAGAGCCTCAAATCCAGACACCAGAACAACCGGAATCAAGATGAAGCACTAAGAACAAGAAGAGAGAGAGAGCCTTCCGGTTTTTTTTTTCTTTATTGAGTATTATAACAATCTGTCTGTTGGACATTGGTTATAGTGAGGTAGAATGACATTCACACTATATGTACAAAAAAATAAAATAAATAGAACAAAATAATAATCAAAAGTATATACAATAGACAATAAAATAAAATAACCTAAAAAATAAGAAAATTAAAACTAAGAAAAAAAAAAACACATGCATACCTATATACAATCAGGCGAGGGAACTCCAGGAGAACCCTGCGCTACTCTCCCAACCGCGTCACTGGTACTAAAGCCAGCGGAGATTGGTCGAGAGCACTTTAGCCACATACACACATGTCTTGAGTGAAGAATCTGGCCATTGCCAGAACTCCAATTTATATAATCTACAAAAGGTCGCGAGGCCACTGCCGTTTCAACCTTCTTGGAGGATTATAGGGATGGGAGATGCTTGATAGGGATTGTGCAAGAGGATTTGGGTGGTAAGTAAGGTTCTGGTGAAATTTGGAGAATTTTTCTGGGATAAGGTCTAGGACAAATGGGATGTTGAGGTCATGATGTAGGGTTTTGTTGGATACATAGAAAGGAGCATCGACTATTGTTCGAAGGACTTTAGACTGGAAGGATTGGATGCGCTTGATGTTAGAAAATTTTGCTGATCCCCACAGTTCTAGTCCGTAAGTCCAAATAGGTTTCAGTATTGTCTTGTAGATCAGTAGCTTGTTTTCAATGGAAAGTTTAGATTTTCTGCTTAGTAGTCGGTATAGTTGGCCGTATCGTCGGTTGAGTTCTTGTCTTTTGAGTCTAGTATGCGGGTTCCAAGTTAGTCTTCGGTCTAAATGAAAGCCAAGATACCGGACTGTGTCTGAGTAAGGAAGCTGGATGGAATTAAAGAGTACTGGTGGACAGGAATTGCGTCGGAGTGTAAAGGTAATATGTTGGCATTTAGATTCATTAACTTTAATGCGCCAGTTATTACACCAGTGCTCAATCAAGGTGAGGTGACTTTGGAGATTTAAGGATGCTATTTCGGGATCAGAGTTGGATGATAAGATTGCGGTGTCGTCAGCGAATGTTGCAAGAAAAGTATCGGGATGAACAGGGATGTCAGCAGTAAAGAGGATGTAAAGCACGGGACCCAAGACGCTGCCTTGGGGAACACCGGCTTTAACGGAGTAGATATTGGAAAATTCTGTTCCACAGCGAACTTGAAAGGAGCGGTCAGAGAGGTAGGATCGGAGGACTAGGTACAAGGACTGAGGTAAATGGATTTTAAGCTTGGAGAGCAGTCCGGAGTGCCATACCCAGTCAAATGCCTGTGCAATGTCCAGAAAGGCACCCGAACAGTATTCCTTGTTTTCTAGGGCTGAGGAAATATGATCAACAACTCGGAATAGTTGTTGAACAGTAGATTGTTGAGAGCGAAAACCAAACTGATGGGGAGGGATATTTTGGGATTCTATAATGGGTAGGATTCGTATTTACATAATTATCTAACCATAATAATAACCCATACTACACAAGTACAGCTCGCCACATATTGCCACTTTTAAGCCATGTTAACGATACCTGAGTGTCTACTCCTTTCCCTTTCAGTAAATTATAAAATCGCCAGTGGTTCATCTTTCCATTTTTCAGTTAATGTAGCATAGTTTACATCTATCTTCGGGGTCCCAGCATTTAGTAGATTTAGTGCTGTGGGATTTGTATCTAGTGATTTAATAGTTGAGAGTATGTTAGAGGTATGACTTCTGATGTAAGTTCGAATGTTATTTTCTTCTTCCCGGCGTGAATTCAAAAGGCTGATGAGACCACGCCCTCCCTTCTTCCTAGGAAGATATAATTCTATTATTATTACTCTTTATTTTTTATTAACGTATTTTTCTGGAGTGGAGAAAAATTAACTTCAACCAATTTCAAGTCAATTTGTGTAGTTCTATTGGATATTTAGGAAGCTCCTTACGTATCTCAGAGTGTTCAGCAGAACAGCTTCCTGGGGCTGTTAAGAGGCCCAACATCTCGGTAGCTTCTGCAGTATATTTTGGAATCAGTCCATTGCTATAGATCATTAAAGACCTTACTATAACTTTGTTCAGTCTTTACATATCTTTTAACTCAAACTAAGAATTTGATATTTCCGAATTTTTCCAGCGCAGGCTGAGTTGGTGTTCCAATGGGAATGATTTGGCATCGATCAACACGGTTTCAAGTCTGTTATGGATCTAGTCTGATATAAAAGATTGATTCCAATAGAATTTCTCATTCCTTCCTTCTGGATAAGTTCTTTAGGGTTGTACTTACAATAAGGTATCAAATCATCCACTAACTTTCTTTTTGGACCAATTGCCTGATGATAAATTTTTGTAACATCGTCATGTCTCTTGAGGTTTTCTGTAACAGCCAGCTCTCCGCACCCTCCAGTTATGTGCTGAATAGACTCGAACCTGCTGGCACAGAGCCTACACTTTTCTGATATTGTCTGTTGCTTCAAGACATGTCACACGTCAGACCTCGTTGCTATGGCCTCATCTTGGATTACTATCAGAAAGCCCTTTGTCTCGGGAAACATATTTTATTTAACCAACCATACAATTTTTTATTTTTATCAACTATGAGTATAAGGTCATTGATGTACTCTTTACTTAGGAATGTATCTTTTATTTTTGTGTGTGTGTAGAGTTTTGTGTAGTTTTCGGTGTGTTATCAGTCTGTCGAAGTATATGAGCAGAGAGTATGCAGTTACCAGAAGGCCTCGACAGTGCGTGTTCATTATAGAGGAGTAAGATGACTGTGTCAGGAGGATCAGCACCCGAACCACTGTTGGTTTGCGGTGTAAGAGATCAATCTTAACACTCTGCAATGATGATAACCACAACCAGAGGGATCAATCTCCGGACTTGTGGGAGGATGAGATACTAACGGAGGGATCAATCTCCTGACTTAGTATATAGGACTACAAGCAGGATGGATCAGCATCCAAACTTGCATGGAGTAAGAGAAGACGAAAAAGGTTTTTGGATATTGTGAAATATGAAGAGCAGATTAAGGTAGGGGTGGGAGAGAAAACGACAAACGTTTGAAAAGAACAGTTCTTGATCTCAAAGAAATGAACTGTTCTTCCAAACGGATAACAACAGTGTTTTTTTTTTAGTTCGCCCGTTTGCCACTTGTCGAATTTCTGTTTTTCGTTTCGTTTTTTCTTAACGAAACAGAAGCTCTTTCTGTTTTCCAACTAACCTATAAGTTCATCATTAAAACAACCCAACAGTTTTTTTATAAGACATGTTTCAACTGTTATGTTTAGAGATGTAATTTTTAGCTCTCATTATTAATGAAGGCTAAGAATAAATAAAGGCTTTCATCATAGTTACTACATTACTAAATTAACTTGAAAAAGTGATAAATAATAACTTGATAAAAATTGAAAAAGGTAAACAGTTGAAAACATTTTTGAACTACAGTTAAAAGACTTATAATGACCAAGCAGCGTAATTTCAAACTAAGAATAACACTTGATAAAGCAGTGTTGGGCAATTACTCGAGTAAATGTCCAATGGTGGTCCAATGGTCCAACGTCACGAGTGATCACTCTTAGAAGCTTAGCCATGAGTAAATTTTAAAATTACTCAGGTACATTTTTCCTCCATGAGTAAATCACTCATGAAATAGGTTATCTCCATGAGCAAATCACTCATAAAACATTTTAATGCCATGATTAATTTAAAAAAAAAATGTTTTTATTTTATATAATCTATTTTTTTTTTTTTGTCATCTTTCGGATTTAATCGATATCAGGGTCAACTCTGAAGTTTTGAGAGGCAATTTTGATGAAGATACTGTCGAATTTGAACTTGCTCACCTCGGGCCTCGGCATTTTGTAACTTTTCGGATTTGATCAATATCAGGGTCGAATATTATGTTTTGGGAGGAGGTTTTAATGAAAATGCTGTCGAATTTGAGATTGGGCCCCCCGGGCTTCGACTTGTTGTAACTTTTCGGATTAAATCGATATCAAGGTCGACTATAATGTTTTGAGGGGTGCTTTTTATGAAAATGCTATTGAATTTGAGGTTAGGCCCCTCGGACCTCGACATTTTGTAACTTTTCGGATTTGATTGATATCTATTTATCAATTTAAAACAAAATTTAAAAAAAAAAACCATATTCTCATTCATACAAAAGCTAGCTTAGTATAAAAAACCCTTCATCTTATGTTGTTGTTTTTTTCATTTTTATTTTGTCAACCCCTTCCTGGCCTATTAGGCTATACGCAGTTTTTATCGGAAAAGTGGATGAAGGCGGTTGATTAATTCTTGAGTAAAACGCTCCCCCGTCAGCGTCACTACAAACCCTAGACGAGTTCAGAGTGTGTAGATCTTTATTTTATTTATATACATTTAATGTACAATATATCATTGTATACTGTAATTATTGAAGATCCTGAAGATGCGGAAATGAACACTTTGAAACATTGAAGAAAATTGTAAAAAAGGAAGACTAGGTTCACAGTTCAATTATAAATTTTACCATTTATTTCTTTAATAAGTTATAAAAGTAATAGATATGAAATAATTCAATGCGAATGGGTATCATGTTTCATGGTTAAGATCCCCTTGGAGTATTCATTAAGTTTTCCTTATCCAACAGAAGTTCTTGTAATGAACCAGTATGCACCCCATAACATCCAACACTTCAAAATTATTTGTGAATATGTAAATTATTTGGTTCAACAAATATATAATATGTGTGTTGTTTTTCAGACATCAGCTGCAGTCTCGTCGATACTATATCAGTTGAGTTTACACCAAGAAATTCAGAATATGTTATATGAAGAAATAAATCGTGTACTTCAAAATGGCCCGATAGATATGAAAAAGTTGGATCAAATGGTATACCTAAAAGCTTGTATCAAAGAAACATTAAGGTACGAAAAAACAAAACTAAAAATTATACAATAAATCTGTATTGAATACAGAGCCACCATATCTCTATACTGAGCTCTTCCATTTGTTTTATATACACATACGCACGCACACGTGCAAACACCCATACTCACACACACATAAATACATATATGTGCAAATATATCATAATGGTAAATATTTCAATTTTTAACAAATTCTAAAGCTTTAATTATAAAATTATCCTATTTTCAACAGGCTAATCGTACTTCCTAGAGCCCTATCCATGAAGTCGGCTATCCCCTCCTCACCTGAGCGCCCTACTATTGAATACTATGTCCCATTATTAAAGTATTAGACCTATATCTAGGTGTCTTTGTAAATATTTTATTCTGGGACATTTAACTGGGTTCCCTAAGAATGATAACAATGAACAATACAAGTATCGTTAGTCTGGCCTAAAATGACAAAAAGTAGTTAAATTACAGAGTGATATAACCTTAACATTAATATAAAGGATAAACATCATGAAAATATAAAATTATAGATAAATAAATATCAGTATATTTACATAATTGTATTGATAAGCAACATACATAGAATAGAATAGAGTATAAATAATAACACATTTGTTAATAATAAAAGCAATAATTTAAGACATATTAACTTGTCACAGCATATTCGACTCTTATTAAGGGATAAACGCAGAGCAAGATCGAAGTGGCACAGGACTAGATATCCTTCAGACAAAACGTACTATACCGAATTGACTAACAAACTAAAATCAGAAATCAGAAAATATAAAACTCAACAATTACTGAACCTAACTGAAAATATTACAACAACTGACAAATCACTATGGACTACAACCAAAAAACTTCTGAAGTTTAAAGATTTTAATCACCCACTTCTTACTGAATCCCAAACCTGGTCCAAATCCGACGAAGAAAAAGCCCAGTTATTCGGTCAACATCTGTTCCAAATTTTCAACCCACATCCTGATATCCTTAATCCAACCCACATCGAATGTATTGAATCAGAACTGGATACTCCTCTCCAAATGTCCCTTCCACCTAAAGCATTTCATCCCACAGAAATATCCAACATCATTCAAAGATTACCCTCCTACAAAGCTCCTGGACATGACCTAATAACATCCCAGATCTTGAAACTTCTTCCTCGAAAAGCCATCCTATTCCTTACTTTCATATATAATGCTGTACTCCGATCAACATATTTCCCTGATCCTTGGAAAATATCTATTGTCAAAATGATCCACAAACCCAAAAAGCCACCAGAATATCCATCCTCTTACCGTCCCATCTCTCTGTTACCCATCATGGGAAAAATCCTGGAAAAACTAATCTTAAAACGCCTGTACCCAATCCTAGATTCTAATCACATAATCCCAGATCACCAATTTGGATTCCGCTCCTCCCATTCCACTATACAGCAATGCCATCGTGTGGTAGACGTAGTATCCTCTGCATTGGAGCGCGGTATGTACTGTACGGGAGCCTTTCTCGATGTTGAACAGGCGTTTGATAGAGTTTGGCACCCGGGACTGCTGTACAAACTCCCAAAAATTCCTACTATCTACCTACTTCCTCATTATCCGTTCCTACCTTACTGATAGATACTTTAAAGTAAATCATAACAATGTATATACATCCCCTTTTTCCCAGTCTGCAGGTGTTCCTCAAGGTAGTATCCTAGGTCCTATCCTTTACACAGTTTATACAGCTGACATCCCAACCCATCCAAACACTGTCATCACCACATATGCTGATGACACATGTATCCTATCAGTCAATAACGACCCATCTATTGCATCCCAAACCCTTCAATCCCACATCACAAACCTTGAAGAATGGTGTCAGAACTGGAGAATTAAAATAAATTCCAATAAATCCCATCAAATTACCTTCACCCTTCGTCGTAAACCAATGACTTCCTGTCCTTCAGTATCCTTTAACAACACCTCACTTATTCCTGTTGAACAAATCCGTTACCTAGGACTCCATCTGGACAAACGTCTAACTTGGAATCCTCATACCAGACTGAAACGACAAGAAACCGCTCGACGTTTCCGACTACTTCAACACTTACTAGACAAACGCTCTAACCTTCCAATCAATTCTAAAAGACTGATTTACATGACTATAATAAGGCCTATTTGGACTTACGGGGTTGAGCTATGGGGCTCCACCAAGCCTTCAAATTCCTCTCGCATACAGTCCTTGCAATCCAAAATCCTTCGTAAAATCCTCAATGCTCCTTACTTTGTTACAAATAAAATTATCCATAATGACCTTAATGTTCCTTATGTATCAGATTTGGCCCAATCCAGATATCTGTCCTTCCATAATAAACTTCATAACCATCCCAACCCTCTTGTCTCTAACCTTGCTTCCTATTCCATTCCTGATAACCCTCCGAGGCGTCTGAAAAGAAGATGGCCACGTGATCTTCTAATATAGACATATTATTAGAGTGCTACCAATGGGTAGTTTCTCAACATATGTTCCATGTCTTTATACCAATGTGCAAATTTACTAGATGTATTTTTTTGTATACAGTTGTAAATATCATTTAAAATAAATAAAAAAAAAAAAATCTCTTCAGCTGAAAAAAAAACACACAGACAAAACAAAAAAACACGTGTTTACATAGGAATAATAAAGAAACAAAACTCTTAACAGCCAAAAAAAAAAAATTATTTAAAATTCCTCAACTATACCATACCAAGAACGGAAAACCAAAATGCTTTAGTCATATTTATAAATTAACTAACTTCTAACAAAAATGGCAACCATCCTTATGTTATTTACAAAAGAAAAATGTTTTTGTGTCACCTTGTCTACAGAGCAATCACTCTGAATGGACCCTCGTAACGTAGCAATGCTTTCCCTCTGTTGGTTCCCAATCTTCGGTACAAAATTGTTCCTATTTTTAAATCTCCCATTTGGTCACGTACTTGGAAATTCTCTCTCTCAACCCTCTTCCTCTTCTCCGCTAAATTTTCCCCTTTACTTTTTTAACTTGTTCTACTGCCGGTTCATTGGTCGTCGTGTCCCCGCAATCTCGTCCCCGCCCGCGCATCCCGAATAGTACTTCAAGGGGTGAAAACCCAGTGACCGAGTGAATCGAATGATCATATACTGTTACAGCTTTTTTTCATCGCGATATCATTATTCTCTCTGATACACACGGATGTGATCACTCAATTTACTGTGCAACCGTTCGATGCCGCATCTGCTTTTAGGGTGTCCAGGGGTCTTGAAGTGCCAAACAATCTCTAACCGTTTCATCTCCTTCCTAATCGTGGCATTATCAAACTCCCTACCACCGCCGGATGTGATTCTCCCGTAAAACTGCACCCAGGTTTATCGGCTTACGCAACCGGGTTAGCTGACTTGTCCAGGATCTGATGTGCCATGGCTATTTTGCTGAAGAGGTCAATTATAGTGACCCACTTGAACCCTCTCCACGTGAATGTGTCGATTTGGAGGTCTTGTAGCGGAATTTTCCCTGTAGGTGTCTCCTCCTGGATTCCTCGAGGGGGGTGTCTATCATACTTCGTGTGCAGACATACTTCACACTTCCCTACAATTTCCTGAATGAACTTCTTCATACCCCACCAGAAATATTATCTACGTAAAGCCTGCAACGTCTCGTTCACGCCTCGATGATTGGTCTTCCCCTAGTGGTATGCTAGTGTCACTGCTTTTTGTTGCTCCTCGTCTACTATTGATTCCACCGAATGCTTTCAACGGACAAACGTCCTATCCACGCCTATTCACTCCGACCTCCACATTCGCTTAATTTTTTCCTGTATTGCATTGTTACCAACATAGAAATGGTGCGTTTTTCCCGATTCCGTTGCGTCTTTTAATGCCCTACAGATCTGCTCTTCGCTTACCCCAGGTTGCAACCAGATGACGTGAATCTTACTTTTCTCTTATTTTCCAAAAAATCTATTTTCTTGGTTCCCGCGGTTCTAGTCCACCAGATCATCTGGCGATGCTTGTCACTAATGATTTCGTCTATTTCTTCCATCTCCGTTTATCTTTCATCTGCTGAGCTCTCTTCTTCTGGGGACTCCTCTCCGCCCTCTGTCCCGACGGTACCGTATTCTCCTTCGCTTTCAGGTGACCATTCGATGGACCTCCTCTGTTTTTTTTTAACGCTTGCCCCTACCTACCCCAACAGGTCACAACCTACTATGGTTTGGTACTCTCGAGTTATGTTTCCTACTACGTGTACTTTCAGCTTACCCCCTTTCTTCGCCCACCGGTCAAGCTTGATAGTCGCTTTTCCCTTCAAGCTATAGGGATCACCCAGAGTGATTAGCTGACAGTCTCATTTTTGTATCCGGAGTGCCCTCTCGCTAACGCACAATTTCTCTAGCGCCCCTCGGGTCATAATAGTACTAGAGCTTTCCGTGTCTACAAGAGACTTCACTCCCCTTCTACTTTAATGATTGGCAACCAGCATGGATTACCTCTAATGTTGTTACATGTTGCTGTGCGGTCGCTTCCCTGCGGACACACTCCTCAGATACCGCCCCGCTTCCTCCTTATTGCCGTCACTCGTCTCTGTTCACTCCGTTGGCCGCTCCTGCCTCCTTCGCCTCCACTGCACTCCTCCATCTCTGTTTCTGAATTTCCCGACGCGTCAGTTGCCTCCTCCGAAGATCCTTTTCGCTGCATACTAGCTCGTCTCCTCATCTTTTGCATGTTCACCTCCATCGGCTCTTCCTGAAATCTCTCTGTCCTGCGGAAAATATATGGGCATTGTCTCCCTTCGGTCCCGCACTCGAAACATCTAGTGCGAACACATTGTGTCAATAAGTGTCCTGGGTTCCCACACCCGTGACATTTTCTATCCTCCCTCCGGGGTCCATTCCTTGGTCTGGGCTGTCCCGATCTTCTTTCGTCCGTCATGGCTCCATTTGATAGTCCTGGTTCTCTCTTTCTCCAACCTATCGCAGCGGTCCTGGGTCGTCTATCATTTTTTCGGGTCCACCATGGTTCTTCCACATCCATCCTAGTCTCCTCCTCTCTTGCACTTAAACCGATCATTTCCTGAGGACATTCGAGGAGCGATCGCTCTCTGAGTAGCTCATCCCTCTTCCCGATTTCTTTTGCTAATTGGACCTTAAGTATAGTCGAAAGGAACGCCATCCTGGCTTCGACTTCTCCTGCGCTCATTTTCTCAGTTATGCGATTGTATTTCGCCACAACCCCGGTGTACTGTCCTCCTGTGTGTCGTTGGGACCGGCGCTCCCTAAACATTTGAAAATTATCTTCTTCCGGCGTCCATCTCCCTCCTCCGAAAGCCTTCTTCAGTCTCTCCTTGATCACCGACCATGGTGTCTCGTTAGCTTGAATTTGGTTTAGGATGTTTCTCCTCACCCTACATACAAGAGCCGCCTTCGGTGCTTCCGCGTCCCCTAGATTAACCAGGTTCCGCAAGACCAGTAGCCCAAGATAGGCAGAGGTGTAGAAGGCTGGTTCAGGCGGTTGTTTGATTCAAATCATCTGTTTGGTCACGGTAATTTGGTGTGAGCCAAATATTACCCATTGACCTATAATTGAATGATATTGTGCTGGTTATCGAAAGGATAGATCACTGAAATTTAAAACGCGATTAAATTAAACAAATGATTCAAAACATTGATTATATTACATATTATGAATACAAATAAAATTTGTGCAATTTTACAATTTTGTTGTTATGAAAAGATGAAATAAATATTTCTATTTAATTGCTGATGGTGAAATTAAAAATTTTTCATGTGACATAGCCATCCATGTTGGAAGTGGTTTTGCTTCTGATTTAAATTGTGTTGTAAATTTGGACTGACTGGTGTCTGAAATAGAGCTTAATTTCTTGGCTTTCTCTTCTTTCTCTCCATACTTTCTCCACTAGGCTGTTTTCTTGGGTTTTAGCAACTTATTTTCTTTCTGTTACAATTTCCGGTGGAAATAAAATAAGAGCGTGCACACTTCACCAATGACTTGGATTAACTGTTTTTTTAAATATGTATCGATATAGGTAAAACTACTTTTTATTTTACAGAATGTATCCTGTTGTTATTGGAAATGGAAGATGCTTAAAAAAAGACACTGTTGTTTGTGGATATACGATTCCGAAAGGAGTAAGTAATTAACTATCCTTTTCTATGAGTTTTTACTGATTCATTATCTATAAAAATAAGAAAAGAAAGTATATATCTCGGTTTTATATTTTTAAAAATTAATTAATCAATTTTATTTACTGTATTTATTTTTTCCTCCATTTTTCTTTAGGATTTTTAACAAGAAGACTAGCTTAATTTTATCATACCACCTTTTATGTGACAGTCAGGGTAACAATACAAGATCAGAATGTTCCTAAATAGAATTAAAGTTATAAAAAAATTATAGAAAAAAGTTATAGAAAAATATGAATAAAATAAGGGACAATATTTTGAACATTGGGAAATAAAATATTCCTGAAGGCGGGGCAAAGCCCCGAATGTCTTTTCTTTTGATGTCGTCAATTTGCCATCTTCTCCTCGCAGTTGCGCATTTCTCGCTTTATATCCTATCCTTTCTTTACTGATATCTGCGAAAAATTCGCATATATTTCCAGCCCGCCAGTTTTCCCCAATAGTTTTCCCAATCTTTCTTTGAGGAATTCTCTTTTTGCTTTTCTTTGTCTTTTGCCTGGCGGCTGTGTATATGTCCAGTATAGCTTGATCAGTTTTTGTTAAGCAGAGGACTTTTCTTTCCAGCTATACTGGACATATACACAGCCACCAGGAAAAAAATAAAGAAAATAATAAGAAAAGCAAAAAGAGAATTCCTCAAAGAATTCCTCCATGGGTCCGGCAAGTCTCAGTGTTCTACTCCATGGCTCTTCCCATGGTAGAACAGCATGAAAGGTAGTCTTGAAGAGGCTAGAGTATTCGTCTACTTCTGGTTTCAGTCGCCCATTTTCTCTCCTACTACTAATAGTTTTTGTGCAGACTGCGCCACCGTCGTTGCAGTGTTACCTACTTGGCGATGATTTACATGTACCCCATGAAGGGGGGGGGGGAGATTTAAAATCACTTTAGGGTGATCAACCCTAAACAATAATGATTTTAAAATATTTTTCATGTAAGGTGGTTATGAAATTGCTTTTTCATCAGATTTTCTGTCAAAGGAATTAATGCGTATTTATAAGTGACAAACTTTATTTTTCTAGCTCTATTATTGAGTTCTGCGCATGTGCTAATTTATTACAAAACACCTGTTACTTCGTCTCCAACAAGTGATTAAATTACTAGTGAATTAGTGAAATAGATAGATAGATAGATAGATATTTTATTTGTTTTAAGGGAGTTCCCCATACAAATAGAGCCTAGCTTGGCTATTGTGCAATAATATGGTTTTACAAATTTACATACATAATTTAAATATAAATAAAATTTACAATATTTAACGTTTAGAATGGTTTTCACAAAACATGAATAACAATAAAAATTAAAAACATAAAACGATTACTGCATAATAATAGTTATATAAACCAGTTACTACGATAGAAACAATAAAAATATTTATAAATATAAACAAAATATTACTCTTAAGATAAACTAAAAACAAAGGCTTAATAGAACATGGCTATGATCAACAATTTTGTGTATGCACTTTGTGTACTCCCATCATATAATAGTAAACTTTATTTAATTTATCTATACAATCGATATTCAGTATTCTGAGATGAAGTTTTGAAGGAATTTTTGTTTATATTCGTTGTATGCTGGGCAGTGAAGGAGAATGTGATGTAGACTATTGTAAATAAATTGACTGCATGATATACAGGTTTCTTGAGACTCAATCGAAAATGTTCTGTTTTTTGCATAGATGCTGATATGTTCTGGGTTTGCAACTCTTAGTTGACTAACACATCTCAATTTCTTTATGTGGACTTTGAATGCAAGGTACGTTTCAGGATCGGGAGCATTGTAACTGCATAGCATTCTGTATAAAGGGTAGTTAGTGGAGTTTAAAGTTCTTTGTATGTCGGCTGAGAAATAATAGTTGTGTGCTTTTTCAAGGATGTCGTCTTTGTATCGAAGAAGTCCGTTTGTGGGGTGAACAGAAAGCTCTTCTGCAAAGGCATTAAGCTCGGCTATTGCTCTAAATTGAGATACCCAATTGAAGTCTATGTCAGGCTTATCCTTATCTAATGTTTTAAGTCTATTAAAACGAAGTTTTGGGAGTCGCTCTTCTGGCATGAACTCGAGCTTGGTCCATAGATTTATCATCTTTTTTATTACTTTCATTCTTAATGGTTCTCTTCCTGTTTCGAGGCGGACTATGTAGTTTGGGGTATTTCTGGGCCAACCAAACAGTTGCTTTAAATATTTAAGTTGGACCGTTTCGATTGCCTCAAGATAATTGGGGCTCCATATTTCAGAAGCATAAAGCAATGTTGATGAGACCATGGAGTCAAATAACAATTTTTTACTTTCCCAGAAGCCACTTTTCCCTTGTTTTAATATGTCTATGACTCTCACCGATGCCACTGATCACTTCTGAGTAAAATATTCATATGCTTGTTTAAATTTTCCTGACGTTGTGAAGGGAACTCCCAAATAAGTATACCTTTTTGTATACTCCAATATCCTGTCATGCCAATACAATGGTTTGAGCTGTTAAAGCCGTGGAGATTTGTGGAAAACAAGAGTTTTAGATTTGTCTACATTTAATGTAAGAGAATTGTTACTGCAATATTCTTGTAATATTTTGATATTCTTTTGCGCTCCATGCCAATTATTACTTAAGAGAATAATATCATCACCTAGAAGGAGCATTGTTACCTCGTGTAAGTTGTCTATGCTTACCCCTCTTGCTCTTTTGTCATGCATGTATTTAACTATGTCGGAGATAAACAACAAAAAAAAGGTTGGTCTCAGACTTTCACCTTGTAAAAGTCCTAAGGTGATGTCAATATCAGCCGAATGTTGTCCATTAACTGAAATTTGGGTTGAGGCATTGTCGTACAGCATTTTAATAATTTTGGTGATTTTTCCTCCAACTCCTAAGGTAATAAGCTTTCTCCAAAGAAGTCCATGATTAATTAAATCGAAAGCTTTTTTGAGGTCGATGAAGGAGGCATATAGATACCTTCCTTCTGTCTTAGACGTTATTCCGATAAGCGCTGAAATGGTGAAGATATGATTTCGTTCCTCTTCAGTTCCTGAATCCTGCTTGTTCCTCGGGTTTTAGATTCTGAGAGTCTGCCCATATTATTATTCTCCTTGCAATGATGCCGGTAAATAATTTAGCCATCGTGTTCAGTAACGATATGCCTCTATAATTATCAATATTGCTTCTATTACCTTTTTTAAAAAGTAAGAAAAGTTTGGATTTAGACCACTGGGTAGGTAATTTTTCTTGTTCAAGTACAGTATTGAATAAATGCAAAATGTAGTGCTCCCACTCTGGGGTGAGGTTTTTGAAGTTTTCATAAATTATAAGGTCCGGTCCTGGGGATGTGTTGTTTTTAGAAAGATTAATATAAATTTGCAGTTCCTCTTGCGTTATATTCGCTTCCAGAATTGAGTTGGTGGTGGGAATGAATTCCAAACTCCGAATGGTTTTCTGTCCATAATGGGTCCTATAGAGTTTGCTCCATTCCTCCATGGTTACTGCATTTTCATTGGGTTTGTATGGTTTCATGGAATTGACGGTTTTCCAAAACTGTTTGCTATTTTTTATATCCTGCAATTTTTTTATAATTTGAAATCTAATTTTTTTTTTCTTGTTCCTAATGAATGTTCTATAGGAATTCCTTGTTTGGATGTAGTCTTGTAACACTTGAGGAGGAAAATTTAATTTAATTAATGCTCTATATTTTCTTCTAACTTCCCTTTTCAGATTATTGCACTCTGAGTCAAACCAGTATTGATTAGGCTGAAACATTATATTCTTAGGTGGTTTTTTGATCACGAGCATGCCGGCAGAAGACATATTCTCCTGCAAGCATTCAACGAAATTCTTATAGAGTTGGTTTACATCATGCGAATTATAGTAAATTTTGTCACTGCAAGCTAAATTTGTTTTTAATAATATGCTTTGGTTCTCATCCCATTTCACGTGTTTTTTTGGGTTCCATACCAATATAATTAAAAGTTCGAGAATTCGGTAAGCCTTCATGTGGTTTCACGTTAGTAGCACAAGCTAAATGGTCCAGAAAATCAGACATGGCTATAACTTCCATATCACCTAAAATCTCGAGTGCCACATCGTTGATCCACACTAGATCAATAGTGCTTTTACCAACGTTAGAAATAAATTTAAACTTTCCAGGTCTGTCAGAGAGGGTCCTATCATTACCTAGTGTGAGACCTAATGATTCCATCGCTTCCACTAATTGTTTTCCTCGTCTGTTAACATGTTTATGGCTGTTCCTCAATGTAGCGTATAGATTTGAGTTGTATGAATTAGTGAACTATAGTAATTAGAAACAGTGCCATTTGAACAATTAACAATTCGTTCATCAAATGAACATAAATAAACACGGTGAGTAATCACTTGTATGTTAAGTTTATTGAGCAGTGTAAACAACAATAGATTTAGGTAGAGAAGGCCATACTGTTATCTTCCAAACCCATCCAGCCAGTTGAGCTGATGCTTTCTGAAAAGGTGGGTCTTACGTCGCTTGGCCCTTCACTGGAACGTAATTATTTACGCACCAGATTATTATTATTATTTTCTCTTCTTATTAACACATTACCATAAATAAGATATTATCACATGATAATGTCTGCCAAAAGTAAAAGATCAAGAAGTCTAGGTAACAACAACTCTCAAAGGTCACCTGAAAAGCAAAGGCAAATATTTGAAATAGGAAAACACCACCATTAACATCTGACAGACCAACTGAAAATATTAACGATCCTCAACCTGGTACTTCAACACAAACAACAGATGAATCTCCATTCTTCATCACCAACCCATACCAGTTATTATCGTCAGAAGATACTATGGAAGCAGCACCAACCTCCAGAGAGCAAAAACCACCTCCAATAATTGTTAGAAATATTTAAAAATTTCCTTTATTTTGTCATAATCTCAATAGAATAATTGACAACGGTAAATATGTATGCCATAGTAGAACCAATGA